ACACATAGTGTTGCAGGGTATAATAATTATTTCAAAATATTAGTTTTTTAGCTGCCTTGTTTTGTAACAATTTTCAACCGATTTTCCGAAAAACTCTAATGGTATTCTATAACTTCGTCAAATAAGGTAGGGAAGATTGTAAAATTAAGTTTCCAAGATTTAAGAACCTCGAAGTTTTCGTGAAGAAAACTTATTTGGGCGATTGGGATGAGATACTAGACCCAGTTTGCGACCAAAACAAACCCAGCTTTCTACCTGGCGCTTATTGTATATTTATTTTATGCGAGTAAATTCTAAATTTAACTTGCAGAAATGGGAATCACCCTGCTTACAGGGTGAGATCAGCAGGCAACAAACTCAAACGCCATAGTTTTTACTTTTTTTTTTATTTTAATGAATGGAAGCAAAAATTTTGGAAATGGCATCAAAATTTAGAATAAGTTTAGATTAGTTCGAATTGGTCACCTTTGCCACGAAATATGGCCTTCAAACGGCCAATGAAACCGCCACACCCTGCCCAAATGCTGCTCTGCGGTATTTTGGCCCATTCCCGGCGAAGCGCTTGCTTGAGGTGATCGACACTTTGGTATTTTTTAGTGCCAACCTTGCTTTCCAAAATACTCCAGACACAATAGTTTAACGGATTTGTATCCGGGGATTTTGGTGGCCATTGTGCACTGGAAATGAAGCGAGGAACTTCATTTGGTAATTATTCTTGGGTGGCGCGTACTGAGTCCTGTTGGAATGTCTAAGGTCTGCGGCCAAAATGTTTGCGGGCCCAAGCCTTTAATACATCCTTCAGAAAATTTTTTTAATAATATTCTGCATTTATTCTGATGCCAAGGTCGATTAATACGAGCGGAGAGCGACCATCGCTGTTATGGTGGCCAACACCATCACCATGGCCGGCGCTTGAGTTCTGGTGGCCAGCCGGCAAGTAAACACGATCATTTTGTTTGTTTACAAACTGCTGGACGGTGAATGTTTTCTCATCGGAGAAAACCAAATTGGGCACTGCACCCCTTTCGGCCAAGCGGAATTTCAATGGCTTTGCCCCAAGCTAATTTTTCAATATTTGCCGAATGGGATATTGCGATATGTTCAGCTCACGGGCCATTTTACGGCCACAGCGACAATTGCGGCTCCGATCAAATCGGTTGTTAACTTTTCGAACCATTTATGCTGATGTTGCTGTTTTGTTCCGTCCACTTCCTTGACGTCGGGCTACGCTACCAGTATCACGGTAACGAGTGATGGTACGAGACACAAAAGATTTATTCACTTTTAAATGCTGGAGTCCTCTAACGATAGCCACTTGTGGTTTTCCAGCCAAATATGAAGAACTCTCACTTTCCCGCTTGAATTCCATCACAAATAACTTTTTTTTTCTGGAAAATTCTCCACAAAATGCTTTTGTACGCTTGTAACCAATATAATGAGCTGTCACTGGAATAATTTTAACATCTGTCGGACGAGTGGCTTAGAAATGATAGCAGTCTGAAGTTGGTTGCAGTTTTTTCAACTCACCCTGTAGTACCATATTGTACTCCTTGTGTTCGTTTAAAATCACGTAATTATCTTAAGTCCTTCTATCAATAATAATCGTATTTAAGGATTATTTTCAACTTTCAAAATTCTCCACTCATAGTTATAATTCAAAAGCACCTACTAAACTCAACGTCTTACGACAACTGCTTAAATCCTGTGCTCTGTTTTATTTAGTATTTTATACACATAGGATGTGACTTTTTAGTCCATACGACTATTCTCATATCGAAAAAGGCATAGATGATATTAAAAAGGCCGATGGTACAATATTTGGAACTTTTCGAAAACTTTTATATCAAACGTAATGCTTATACAAACCAATATCAAAACCTTATGACGTCAAGTATAAATAATTTGTAAATCTCTAGCCTTAAAAGCTTCGAAAGGGCGAGTCAATTACATTTCGTAGATTTATTTGAAAACTGTTATACGGTCGTGGCATATTCTTTAGGTTATGTCACAAACGTAACAAGTGCCATCTATATATTAGCCAGAACTTTATCAATGGTTGGTGTCCCAACAACACAGAACAATAAGGAAATACATTTTTCGGTGAACCACCATGTGTTTGCAATTGCTTCACAACAATAAAATACACAATCACCTCTCAGTGCCATCTATATATCACATCACACACCCATGATGGTGTGTAACTCTGCTAGTACAACCTGTAATAATGAAAAGTATTATTTGGATCACCATGTGTTGCAAACTGTATAAAGAAATTAATTACTTCTAATATTTAAAACTCGAAACAACATCAAATCAAAACACGTCACAAATGCGAAAAACTCAAAGATAAAAGAGTTATGGCTAAAATCAATAAAAAAACCTACAAACTAAAAATCCGCAAAACTTAATACTTAAAAATGGTCTATTTTAAAACGCTCATAACTCCTTAAATATTGACATTTTGGGATTTTTAGCATCATTTTAATCGCAGTTATTTAATGTTGAAAAATAGGCAATTTTAAAACGCTTAACGGGGTTTTAAGCATCATTTTAATCGCAGTTATTTAATGTTGAAAAATAGCCAGTTTAAAACGCTCATAACTCCTTAAATATTGACATTTCCGGGTTTTTGGCATCATTTAAATCGCAGGTATTTAATGCTGAAAAATAGGCAATTTTAAAACGCTCATAACTCCTTACATATTGACATTTCGGGGTTTTTAGCATCATTTTAATCACAGTTATTTAATGTTGAAAAATAGCCAATTTTAAAACGCTCATAACTCCTTAAATATTGACATTTCGGGGTTTTTAGCATCGTTTTAATCGCAGTTATTTAATGTTGAAAAATAGCCAATTTTAAAACGCTCATAACTCCTTAAATATTGACCTTTCGGGGTTTTAAGCATCGTTTTAATCGCAGTTATTTAATGTTGAAAAATAGGCAATTTTAAAACGCTCATAACTCCTTAAACATTGACATTTCGGGGTTTTCAGCATCATTTTAATCGCAGTTATTTAATATTGAAAAATAGGCAATTTTAAAACGCTCATAACTCCTTAAATATTGACATTTCGGGGTTTTTAGCATCATTTTAATCGCAGTTATTTAATATTGAAAAATAGGCAATTTTAAAACGCTCATAACTCCTTAGATATTAACATTTCGGGGTTTTTAGTATTATTTAAATCGCAGTTATTTAATGTTGAAAAATAGGCAATTTTAAAACGCTCATAACTCCTTAAATATTGACATTTCGGGGTTTTTAGTATTATTTAAATCGCAGTTATTTAATGTTGAAAAATAGGCAATTTTAAAACGCTCATAACTCCTTAAATATTGACATTTCGGGGTTTTCTGCATCATTTTAATCGCAGTTATTTAATATTGAAAAATAGGCAATTTTACAACGCTCATAACTCCTTAGATATTAACATTTCGGGGTTTTTAGTATTATTTAAATCGCAGTTATTTAATGTTGAAAAATAGGCAATTTTAAAACGCTCATAACTCCTTAAATATTGACATTTCGGGGTTTTAGCATCATTTTAATCGCAGTTATTTAATGTTGAAAAATAGGCAATTTTTAAACCCTCAAAACTCCTTAAATATTGACATTTCGGGGTTTTTGGCATCATTTAAATAGCAGTTATTTAATTTTGAAAAATAGCCAATTTTAAAACGCTCATAACTCCTTAAATATTGACATTTCGGGGTTTTTAGCATCGTTTTAATCGCAGTTATTTAATGTTGAAAAATAACCAATTTTAAAACGCTCATAACTCCTTAAATATTGACATTTCGGGGTTTTTAGCATCGTTTTAATCGCAGTTATTTAATGTTGAAAAAAAGCCAACTTTAAAACGCTCATAACTCCTTAAATATTGACATTTCGGGGTTTTTAGCATCGTTTTAATCGCAGATATTTAATGTTGAAAAATAGCCAATTTTAAAACGCTCATAACTCCTTAAATATTGAAATTTCAGGATTTTTAGCATCGTTTTAATCGCAGTTATTTAGTGTTGAAAAATAGGCAATTTTAAAACGCTCATAACTCCTTAAATATTGACATTTCGGGGTTTTTAGCATCGTTTTAATCGCAGTTATTTAATGTTGAAAAATAGCCAATTTTAAAACGCTCATAACTCCTTGAATATTGACATTTCGGGGTTTTTAGCATCGTTTTAATCGCAGTTATTTAATGTTGAAAAATAGCAAATTTTAAAACGCTCATAACTCCTTAAATATTGACATTTCGGGATTTTTAGCATCGTTTTAATCGCAGTTATTTAGTGTTGAAAAATAGGCAATTTTAAAACGCTCATAACTCCTTAAATATTGACATTTCGGGGTTTTTAGCATTGTTTTAATCGCAGCTATTTAATATAGAAAAATAGCCAATTTTAAAACGCTCATAACTCCTTAAATATTGACATTTCGGGGTTTTTAGCATCGTTTAAATCGTATTTATTTTTTAAAACGCTCATAACTCCTTAAATATTGACATTTCGGGGTTTTTAGCATCGTTTTAATCGCAGTTATTTAATGTTAAAAAATAGCCAATTTTAAAACGATCATAACTCCTTAAATATTGACATTTCGGGGTTTTTAGCATCGTTTTAATCGCAGTTATTTAATGTTGAAAAATAGCCAATTTTAAAACGCTCATAACTCCTTAAATATTGACATTTCGGGGTTTTTAGCATCGTTTTAATCGCAGTTATTTAATGTTGAAAAATGGCCAATTTTAAAACGATCATAACTCCTTAAATATTGACATTTCGGGGTTTTTAGCATCGTTTTAATCGCAGTTATTTAATGTTGAAAAATAGCCAATTTTAAAACGCTCATAACTCCTTAAATTTTGACATTTCGGGGTTTTTAGCATCGTTTTAATCGCAGTTATTTAATGTTGAAAAATAGCCAATTTTAAAACGCCCATAACTCCTTAAATATTGACATTTCGGGGTTTTTAGCATCGTTTTAATCGCAGTTATTTAATGTTTGTGACGACGTGTTTTCACTTTGAAGCTGGGGTAGGTTCAGCGGGGGCCAGAGTCGTCACAAAAATTTATTTGTTAGGACATAAAGAGAGAGAGAGAGAGCGAAGCAAAAATATTTTCTTAAAACGTTATAAATTTATTTCCTTAAATAACACTAAACACTACACTAAACACAATAAAATCACGTTCAGAACGTTTTACGAAGAACACTAAATCACAAAGTTCAGTCGAAATGTTAATAAACGGGTAGCAGTGGTGGCAGCTTGGCACAGCGGCGGCCCGATGAATAGGCGAGCGACGAATAGAGTGGCGGCAGCTTGGCACAGCGGCGGCCCGATGAATAGGCGAGCGACGAATAGGGTGGCGGCGGCTTTGGCACAGCGGCGGCCCGATGAATAGGCGAGCGACGAATAGTAGTGGCGGCAGCTTGGCACAGCGGCGGCCTGATGAATAGGCGAGCGACGAATAGGGTGGCGGCGGCTTTGGCACAGCGGCGGCCCGATGAATAGGCGAGCGGCGAATAGGGTGGCGGCGGCTTTGGCACAGCGGCGGCCCGATGAATACGTCAGCGGCGAGTAGTAGTGGCGGCAGCTTGGCACAGCGGCGGCCCGATGAATACGTCAGCGGCGAGTAGTAGTGGCGGCAGCTTGGCACAGCGGCGGCCCGATGAATAGGCGAGCGACGAATAGGGTGGCGGCGGCTTTGGCACAGCGGCGGCCCGATGAATAGGCGAGCGGCGAATAGGGTGGCGGCGGCTTTGGCACAGCGGCGGCCCGATGAATAGGCGAGCGGCGAATCGGGTGGCGGCAGCTTTGGCACAGCAGCAGCCCGATGAGTACGTCAGTCGCCGTCAACGCAGCCCGAAGAATAGGGAGTATTGCTACAGCCCTCACTCGACCCTGCGTTCAGTCGCCGTCAACGCAGCCCGAAGAATAGGGAGTATTGCTACAACCCTCACTTGACCCTGCGTTCAGTCGCCGTCAACGCAGCCCGAAGAATAGGGAGTATTGCTACAACCCTCACTTGACCCTGCGTTCAGTCGCCGTCAACGCAGCCCGAAGAATAGGGAGTATTGCTACAACCCTCACTTGACCCTGCGTTCAGTCGCCGTCAACGCAGCCCGAAGAATAGGGAGTATTGCTACAACCCTCACTTGACCCTGCGTTCAGTCGCCGTCAACGCAGCCCGAAGAATAGGGAGTATTGCTACAACCCTCACTTGACCCTGCGTTCAGTCGCCGTCAACGCAGCCCGAAGAATAGGGAGTATTGCTACAACCCTCACTTGACCCTGCGTTCAGTCCAGTCCAGTCACCACAAATAGTCAAGGCTTATTGTTTGGCTTACTAAGACTCAATTCAACCGAGGTTGCGCGCCTTTTCTTCCTCCCAATCACACTTGACTTACCAGCCATCAACAGAAGACTGATCTCGATTGTGTGAAATGCGTCTCCTTTTATACCTTTTTGGCTGGACAACGATTGTTGTTTTCTCATGACAGCAGCTGATCCCAATCTGACAGTTTTGCGTAGTTCCGCCATTTGCCACCAGGGGTTCCAATGTTGTATTTTAAGTATACTTCTTTCTACTAGGGGACCTGTGTGACCGTTAATATTCAAATACATTTAAATTACATGACCCTGAGTAGCTGTTAGTTTAATTCATAACTTAAATATTTTGATTCATTTTCAAACAAAAAATATAATTCATAGTTGATGTATATAACATACGTAAGTAAAAATGGTATTTAAAATAATAATGTACCCCAAAAACGAAAGCATGACTTTTGGGCGTTACATGGCATCTCTTCCTCCCTCTGATTTTTGATTCCTTGATTTGCTTTCTCTATTGCTATTGGGTTTCAATAGCCAGGAAGCCCTAGGGTGTTATGTAACCTTTTATTTCTCCGACATGGGCACTTTGGTTCGACTATATCTCGGTCGAATAGGAAGGTATGTTAGAGACCAATTGCAGAAGTTCGGAGAGATACCTTCACTACCCCGTCTGCTGATATTATTATGCGGTACTGCTTGCCATCTTGTTTAACAATTCGCTTCAGTTTGTGTCCCTTTTTCCAATTGTTTTTAAACTTCTCGATACGGATTTGTAGGTTTTCGGGATAATTTGGCAGTTCGAGAAATGTGTTATCGTTCACGGGATTGTCTGTCGAGGACGATGGCGTTGACTCAGTTGGGATTTCAGTGACTGGCAATTTGATTGTACTTGGTGTGCTATTATTCTCCTTACTGGGTATAAACACTTCATCGATGGAAGGTTGACTGCTACACAATGTTGGCTGATGAGGTGTCATCGTTTGGCTTGTGGATGATGATGAAGACGACGAGGCTGATGAGGATGAGGATGACGATAAAGACGACGAGGCTGATGAGGATGAGGATGACGATCGGGAAGACATCGATGGTGATGACAGTTCGACAACGTGTCCCGGCGTTCCTGGTAATGATTTATCTTCCTTCACGTTGGGGGACCTGTGATCGTCCGATATGACGGCAGCATTGGATTGCGATGGAATTTGTACGTCATCACTATGCAACAGATTTGCTTGTTCGGTTATGTTATATAGCGGTGATGATGGAGGAACACCAACCAGCGTCTGCCATTGGGTCCACCACTCAGAACTAGGATCTTCGGAAACTGTCACAAAACTACTTGCGGTCGATCTGGAGTCTTCTTCTAAATGTGCGAAAGCATGTGAGGATGAAGTAGGAACCTCCTCATGTTTGTGTGAGGTGTTGGATATTGAATGGATATCTTCGGTGTTGATCTCTTCCCCTATCGCGGGTGTGGGTGAGGGCGTACGATGATTATCCGGCGGTGGGTTGGTTATTTCATATATTGGATTTTCCCCGGAGTCGGGGACCAAAAGCTGCACAGTAACTGTTCTCTCATAACAGCGAAATCCGAGATATTTGTATTGGCTATCTTTCTGACGGACAAATCCCAGACCATACCTTTTTGGCGGAGACGAGGAACGTTGATCTTCGTTATCCGACTCATCCAGCGAGGAATTATTCGAGGATAAGGGTGACTGTGCTCGCCGAGTCACTGAGGTTTCTAAGTAACCGTAAAACATACGCCGACATTCTTCATCCATTTCGAAATTTGATTGAGATTCACCCGACTCCTCCATATTGGGCCGAGGAAGCGTTGATGCGTCATCTGAGTCACGACACCATTCTTTACCCGGTGTAACAGGCATTTCTGAGCACCTTGAAGTGGGTGTTGAGAGCACATCGGAAGCCGGCTTAAAGCTATTTGGCGAACCAAAACACGGGGCGTAGGTTGGTGTACGCGGGACGTCACTACTAGGCTGGGTTTCCTCGTTCAAAGAGTCAGTTTCATCGATATCGTCGCTGTTGTTTTCGGTCGTGTTACACTTTTGCTGTGGAACGTCATTCGGGGTTGTGCTGCACATTCGGTAAAATATTTGGTGCTGGGGCGATGAGGATTGACTGCTACCCTTTCTTGGATTGGGCTTACGGTATTGATTTGTTCTCCTCTTTCGGCTGGTACTAGGACCTTCGTCTAAAAATATTGTCCTTCGCCTTTGAGCCTCGACTTGTTCCAGATGAGCTCGAAATTTCTCCTTCGCCCGTTTGAATTTTTTCGTGTTGGGGCTATCTTGCTCCATCGTGATGTTGAAATTTTGAGAATTGCGATGGTCTTTGAAGTATGGGCTTATATTAGGACACTGATTAGTTTGGGTATTGTCAATTTAATGTCTAAAAATAAAATAAGAAATTATAATGAAATGGCATCACATAAACGTAAGTGGAACTACAATCAACATTCTACTTCTATGTCTACAATTTAATTTTGTTCTTCATAAAAAGGCTTAATTTCACTTAAGTGCGCGACGCGGGTGATGTTGTCTTTTCCTCGGACTACAACGATTACTGGAGATTGGAATTTTTGTACGACAAACGGCCCTCCGTATTTGGGCGCTAGTTTGGCGGCGAAATTTTCGACGGCCTTCGACTGAGGATGTAGACGAACTAGAACTTGCTCCCCAATCTTTGGTTTCCAAACTCGTCGTCTAAGGTTGTACTGTCTCCGCTGGTTTTGAGATGCTTTTGCCAAGTTTCGACGCACTATCTTAAATATTTCTTTCAACTCCTGGGCACGGTCTTCTGGTAAGACTATTCTAGCACCAGTTCCTGTTGTGAGCTGATCATATAATGCCTGGGGCAGTCGCGGTTCTCTTCCTTGTGTCAGGTATGCCGGCGAATATCCAGTGGATTCTGATGCACTAGTGTTTATGGCTAACATTATTTCGGGCAGCATATCGTCCCATGTATTATGTTGTTTCGAAACTTGTGCTATCATTGTTTTCACTGTCCGATTTGTCCTTTCAGTAGGGTTCTCTTGCGGGGTGTAAGGAGCCGTAAGTTGATGCTTTATACCCATTTCTGCTAGGAATTTTTCGAATTGGTTGCTAGTGAATTGGGTTCCGTTATCGGTTATCAATATTTTTGGAACCCCATATCTAGAAATAATTCTTTCTCTGCATGCCTTTATTAATCCCTCTGTCGTAGCCTTCCGCAATGGAACCAACTCCGTCCATTTTGAGAATCTATCCATAATAACGAGTAGCATTGAGTTACCGTGCTTAGATCGCGGTAGGGGTCCTACGAAGTCCGCACAAATAGTGGCCCATGGTTCCTCCGGGATTCTTATCAACATTTCCCCTGCTGGTTTCTGTTGGCTGACTTTATATTTTTGGCAACATTCGCACTGCTGGACATAACGTTTGATGTCCTGGAACATACCAGGCCAAAAATATCGGTTCGCCACCTTGTTGCTAGTCTTTCGCACTCCCAAATGACCTCCGGTGACACTGTCATGATTTTCTCTAAGGACCTGAATCCTTGATCCGGTGGGCACACACAGCTTCCATGGTGTGCAATCTTCATCGTTTATTTGCTTGGGAAAATGTCGATAAACATTTCCCTCAATGATTGTATAGTCTGGATACTTCTTCGGATTCTTGGTTATGGTTTCCTTCAACTTTTCTAGCCATGGGCACGGACTGGTGTCATATTTTACTGTGGCTAGGTCTAACGTTTCCAAAGGTGTTCTCGAAAGCGCATCTGCCACAACGTTCTGTTTTCCTCTACGGTATCTGATCAAAAAATTATATTGCTGTAGCTCGAGAGCCCAACGTGCGAGTCGACCTGTAGGGCTTTCAATAGAATTTAACCATTTTAGGGCCAAATGATCGGTAATAACTATAAACTGGTAACCCTCTAAATAGGGTCTCATGTGTCTGATGCCCCACAGTATGGCTAGACATTCCCTTTCAGTCGCTGAGTAGTTCTTTTCAGCCTGTTTTAAATGTCTGCTGGCGTAGGCTATGACACGTTCCACGTTATCTAACTCCTGTGTTAGAACTGCTCCAAGGCCATAGTTGCTGGCATCAGTTTGCAATATGAACGTCTTTGTGAAATCCGGACAAGCCAGAACGGGGGCTTCAGTTAACTTTGCTTTTAGGTCTGAGAATGCTTCTTGTTGTTCGGGACCCCATTTCCAATGTTTTCCCTTTTTAAGAAGACTAGTCAATGGTTGTGAAATTGTTGCAAACTGTGGGACAAATCTTCGGTACCAAGATGCTACTCCAAGAAATCTTCGTACCTCCTTTACCGATGTTGGAGGTTTCATTTCCACTATTGCGGCAACTTTATCTGGATCCGTCTTTATTCCCTCGCTACTCACAACATGGCCTAAATACTTCGTTTCTTTTCTGAAAAATTCGCATTTCTCAATGTTTATTCTCAGGTTAGCTGATCGCAATCTTCTGAACACTTCTCTCAAGTTCCGCAAGTGTTCCTCAAACGTTTTTCCAATGACGATGATATCGTCAAGGTATGCAAAAGCGTGGGGGTCCATTTCAGGCCCAATCACACTATCTAATGCCCGTTGGAAGGTTGCCGGTGCTGAATGCAAACCGAAAGGCATCACTTTCCACTGATATAGACCTTTACCAGCTACCGCAAAGGCCGTGTATTTTCTGCTCTCCTTCGCCATAGGTATTTGCCAATATCCGTCTTTAAGGTCCAGGCTACTCACGTATTTGGCATCCCGTAGTCGATTCAGTATTGTGTCGATGCGGGGTAAAGGGTAGGCATCTGGAACAGAACGTTTATTCAATTGGCGAAAATCCATACAAGTTCTCCAATTCCCATTTTTCTTTCTGACTAATGTGATGGGGAAACAGTATGGGCTTGTAGACGGCTCTATACATCCTCGTTCTTCGAGCTTTCTCACTTCGGCATTAATCACGGCTTGCATTGCAGGATTTCGCGGAGCATATCTTAATTTAATGGGTCGATCGTCGGTCATTACAATCTTATGTTCAGCTATTGACGATGGGCCATTTAATTGTTGGAACTTAGGGAGTTCCTGTGCCAGAAAATTTTCAACGATCTCACATTGCGTTTTACTCAATTCATCGTTTAAGAATTTAGGTCTGGGGGATACATTATTCGTAGCTGTCATTGTATCTATTACCTCTTTTGATGGGGTTTCCTCTCCTATAGCCACGGTACAATGCTCCGTTGAGGTGGTTGGCTTACTTAATTTGACACTTATACCGGCGCAGTGAATGGTCGTGTGGAACTGTTTTAGAAATTCCAATCCCAATATGATGTTTTCCTTGAATTGCGGCATGATGAGAAATGTAACATCTGAGCTTTGGTTTCCAAATGTAACAGGTAACACTGTTGATCTTGTGATGTTCACCGTGGTGCCGTCTGCGAGGATAACATTTGCCTCATGCCGTGAATAAGTAAACCTTTTCTTGATTTTTTCCGCAAATTCTCTTTTTATAAAACAGCTAGTGGCACCAGTGTCGACAGTTGCTTTAATAGCTTTCCCCTCTATTAAGACAGTTGCAGTAAGGCGATATTCTTCACATTGCAATGATGTAACATTCTGGTTACTCTTCTTTGCCGGGGGTTCATCCTGCTGCGTTTCTGGATTGGATGAGCTTTCGTTTAGCACTTGGTCACCTTGATTGGTGCAATACAGGTTATTTCTAGAGTTGTCCGCACGTCGATTATAGTTTTGTTGATTTCGAGGCTGTTCTGACCGAGAATTATTTGGTATGCTTTCGAGTTCGTCTGCCAAGGAGATCAATTCCGAAAGTGTGGTAAAGTCTTTACGGCGAATGTACCATTGATAATCCGAATGCGCGTTTCTAAAAATTCGTTCCAATTTTTGTTCTTCGGTCATATTGGTGTGCTGCATAAGATGCTGTATAGAGAGTACATATTCCTTAAACGGCTCCTTATTACGCTGTATCCTTCTCCTAATTTCATCCTCCAATTTCTCAAAGTATCTCGGTGGCAAAAAGAATTTCAGAAAATCACTCTTAAATTCGTTCCAGGTAGTCCAGTGTCGGTTGTTGTTCCTTAGCCAGATTAAAGCTTTACCTCGTAACAACTCTGGCATTACTTTAATTATTTGATTCAATTCCACGATGTACATTTCAGCCATTTCTTCTACACGTTCTACGAATCCAATAGGGTCCATTCCATTTTCAAAAGTAATATTCCATTTTCGGATTTGGTCGAGAATTACGAGTAACGACGAATTATTGGATGGCTTGGGCGGAGAATCTTTTTGAAATCCATATTCGGGGTTTGTTGGCGACATCTTCTGTACTTTTTGATCGTTTGTTACCCCTGTGCTTGACTCTCCATGTGACCTTTCCGCGGAAATGTGGGGAAGGGCGTACTCTGTTTTTATTGGGGATAATACTATTGCTTCTGCTCCACACGGTGTTACGGTTATAAGGGGTTGTTTTGTGACGGCTCGCAATGTCGGCGATTTGGTCGGACTGGTACTTTCATGTTTGTTCTGCAACTCTATAAGCCGTCTGTATACATCGGCTTCATGGTCGTTGTGGAGAAATTTAGCCCATCTTTTTCGGAGATCGTCCACTTTTCCAACTGGATCAAGATTGAATTCAGTAAGATATGTTACCAAGTCTTCTTGCTTTAGCATATAGGCCCAGGAGACCTTCAACATTGTCTTTTCGTTTGACATTTTTTTTTTTTTTTTTTTTTTTTTTTTTTTTTTTTTTTAACTGTTTTTTTTTCACTGGGTTTTCATCTGTATTTGTCTAATTATTGTTCACTCATTTATTTATTCTTTCTCTCTTTTATAGTCCCTGCTCGGGCGCCATTGTGACGACGTGTTTTCACTTTGAAGCTGGGGTAGGTTCAGCGGGGGCCAGAGTCGTCACAAAAATTTATTTGTTAGGACATAAAGAGAGAGAGAGAGAGCGAAGCAAAAATATTTTCTTAAAACGTTATAAATTTATTTCCTTAAATAACACTAAACACTACACTAAACACAATAAAATCACGTTCAGAACGTTTTACGAAGAACACTAAATCACAAAGTTCAGTCGAAATGTTAATAAACGGGTAGCAGTGGTGGCAGCTTGGCACAGCGGCGGCCCGATGAATAGGCGAGCGACGAATAGAGTGGCGGCAGCTTGGCACAGCGGCGGCCCGATGAATAGGCGAGCGACGAATAGGGTGGCGGCGGCTTTGGCACAGCGGCGGCCCGATGAATAGGCGAGCGACGAATAGTAGTGGCGGCAGCTTGGCACAGCGGCGGCCTGATGAATAGGCGAGCGACGAATAGGGTGGCGGCGGCTTTGGCACAGCGGCGGCCCGATGAATAGGCGAGCGGCGAATAGGGTGGCGGCGGCTTTGGCACAGCGGCGGCCCGATGAATACGTCAGCGGCGAGTAGTAGTGGCGGCAGCTTGGCACAGCGGCGGCCCGATGAATACGTCAGCGGCGAGTAGTAGTGGCGGCAGCTTGGCACAGCGGCGGCCCGATGAATAGGCGAGCGACGAATAGGGTGGCGGCGGCTTTGGCACAGCGGCGGCCCGATGAATAGGCGAGCGGCGAATAGGGTGGCGGCGGCTTTGGCACAGCGGCGGCCCGATGAATAGGCGAGCGGCGAATCGGGTGGCGGCAGCTTTGGCACAGCAGCAGCCCGATGAGTACGTCAGTCGCCGTCAACGCAGCCCGAAGAATAGGGAGTATTGCTACAGCCCTCACTCGACCCTGCGTTCAGTCGCCGTCAACGCAGCCCGAAGAATAGGGAGTATTGCTACAACCCTCACTTGACCCTGCGTTCAGTCGCCGTCAACGCAGCCCGAAGAATAGGGAGTATTGCTACAACCCTCACTTGACCCTGCGTTCAGTCGCCGTCAACGCAGCCCGAAGAATAGGGAGTATTGCTACAACCCTCACTTGACCCTGCGTTCAGTCGCCGTCAACGCAGCCCGAAGAATAGGGAGTATTGCTACAACCCTCACTTGACCCTGCGTTCAGTCGCCGTCAACGCAGCCCGAAGAATAGGGAGTATTGCTACAACCCTCACTTGACCCTGCGTTCAGTCGCCGTCAACGCAGCCCGAAGAATAGGGAGTATTGCTACAACCCTCACTTGACCCTGCGTTCAGTCCAGTCCAGTCACCACAAATAGTCAAGGCTTATTGTTTGGCTTACTAAGACTCAATTCAACCGAGGTTGCGCGCCTTTTCTTCCTCCCAATCACACTTGACTTACCAGCCATCAACAGAAGACTGATCTCGATTGTGTGAAATGCGTCTCCTTTTATACCTTTTTGGCTGGACAACGATTGTTGTTTTCTCATGACAGCAGCTGATCCCAATCTGACAGTTTTGCGTAGTTCCGCCATTTGCCACCAGGGGTTCCAATGTTGTATTTTAAGTATACTTCTTTCTACTAGGGGACCTGTGTGACCGTTAATATTCAAATACATTTAAATTACATGACCCTGAGTAGCTGTTAGTTTAATTCATAACTTAAATATTTTGATTCATTTTCAAACAAAAAATATAATTCATAGTTGATGTATATAACATACGTAAGTAAAAATGGTATTTAAAATAATAATGTACCCCAAAAACGAAAGCATGACTTTTGGGCGTTACATGTTGAAAAATAGCCAATTTTAAAACGCTCATAACTCCTTAAATATTGACATTTCGGGGTTTTTAGCATCGTTTTAATCGCAGTTATTTAATGCTGAAAAATAGCCAATTTTAAAACGCTCATAACTCCTTAAATATTGACATTTCGGGGTTTTTAGCATCGTTTTAATCGCAGTTATTTAATGTTGAAAAATAGCCAATTTTAAAACGCTCATAACTCCTTAAATATTGACATTTCGGGGTTTTTAGCATCGTTTTAATCGCAGTTATTTAATGCTGAAAAATAGCCAATTTTAAAACGCTCATAACTCCTTAAATATTGACATTTCGGGGTTTTTAGCATCGTTTTAATCGCAGTTATTTAATGTTGAAAAATAGCCAATTTTAAAACGCTCATAACTCCTTAAATATTGACATTTCGGGGTTTTAAGGGTTTTAATGTTGAAAAATAGCCAATTTTAAAACGCTCATAACTCCTTAAATATTGACATTTCGGGGTTTTTAGCATCGTTTTAATCGCAGTTATTTAATGTTGAAAAATAGCCAATTTTAAAACGCTCATAACTCCTTAAATATTGACATTTCGGGGTTTTTAGCATCGTTTTAATCGCAGTTATTTAATGTTGAAAAATAGCCAATTTTAAAACGCTCATAACTCCTTAAATATTGACATTTCGGGGATTTTTGGCATCATTTTAATCGCAGTTATTTAATGTGGAAAAATAGCCAATTTTAAAACGCTCATAACTCCTTAAATATTGACATTTCGGGGTTTTTAGCATCGTTTTAATAGCAGTTATTTAATGTTGAAAAATACCCAATTTTAAAACGCTCATAACTCTTTAAATATTGACATTTCGGGGTTTTTAGCATCGTTTTAATCGCAGTTATTTAATGTTGAAAAATAGCCAATTTTAAAACGTTCATAACTCCTTAAATATTGACATTTCGGGGTTTTTAGCATCGTTTTAATCGCAGTTATTTAATGTTGAAAAATAGCCAATTTTAAAACACTCATAACTCCTTAAATATTGACATTTCGGGGTTTTTAGCATTGTTTTAATCGCAGTTATTTAATATAGAAAAATAGCCAATTTTAAAACGCTCATAACTCCTTAAATATTGACATTTCGGGGTTTTTAGCATCGTTTAAATCGTATTTATTTTTTAAAACGCTCATAACTCCTTAAATATTGACATTTCGGGGTTTTTAGCATCGTTTTAATCGCAGTTATTTAATGTTAAAAAATAGCCAATTTTAAAACGATCATAACTCCTTAATATTGACATTTCGGGGTTTTTAGCATCGTTTTAATCGCAGTTATTTAATGTTGAAAAATGGCCAATTTTAAAACGATCATAACTCCTTAAATATTGACATTTCGGGGTTTTTAGCATCGTTTTAATCGCAGTTATTTAATGTTGAAAAATAGCCAATTTTAAAACGCTCATAACTCCTTAAATATTGACATTTCGGGGTTTTTAGCATCGTTTTAATCGCAGTTATTTAATGTTGAAAAATGGCCAATTTTAAAACGATCATAACTCCTTAAATATTGACATTTCGGGGTTTTTAGAATCGTTTTAATCGCAGTTATTTAATGTTGAAAAATAGCCAATTTTAAAACGCTCATAACTCCTTAAATATTGACATTTCGGGGTTTTTAGCATCGTTTTAATCGCAGTTATTTAATGTTGAAAAATAGCCAATTTTAAAACGCTCATAACTCCTTAAATATTGACATTTCGGGGTTTTTAGCATCGTTTTAATCGCAGTTATTTAATGTTGAAAAATGGCCAATTTTAAAACGATCATAACTCCTTAAATATTGACATTTCGGGGTTTTTAGCATCGTTTTAATCGCAGTTATTTAATGCTGAAAAATAGCCAATTTTAAAACGCTCATAACTCCTTAAATATTGACATTTCGGGGTTTTTAGCATCGTTTTAATCGCAGTTATTTAATGTTGAAAAATAGCCAATTTTAAAACGCTCATAACTCCTTAAATTTTGACATTTCGGGGTTTTTAGCATCGTTTTAATCGCAGTTATTTAATGTTGAAAAATAGCCAATTTTAAAACGCCCATAACTCCTTAAATATTGACATTTCGGGGTTTTTAGCATCGTTTTAATCGCAGTTATTTAATGTTGAAAAATAGCCAATTTTAAAACGCTCATAACTCCTTAAATATTGACATTTCGGGGTTTTTAGCATCGTTTAATCGCAGTTATTTAATGCTGAAAAATAGCCAATTTTAAAACGCTCATAACTCCTTAAATATTGACATTTCGGGGTTTTTAGCATCGTTTTAATCGCAGTTATTTAATGTTGAAAAATAGCCAATTTTAAAACGCTCATAACTCCTTAAATATTGACATTTCGGGGTTTTTAGCATCGTTTTAATCGCAGTTATTTAATGCTGAAAAATAGCCAATTTTAAAACGCTCATAACTCCTTAAATATTGACATTTCGGGGTTTTTAGCATCGTTTTAATCGCAGTTATTTAATGTTGAAAAATAGCCAATTTTAAAACGCTCATAACTCCTTAAATATTGACATTTCGGGGTTTTAAGGGTTTTAATGTTGAAAAATAGCCAATTTTAAAACGCTCATAACTCCTTAAATATTGACATTTCGGGGTTTTTAGCATCGTTTTAATCGCAGTTATTTAATGTTGAAAAATAGCCAATTTTAAAACGCTCATAACTCCTTAAATATTGACATTTCGGGGTTTTTAGCATCGTTTTAATCGCAGTTATTTAATGTTGAAAAATAGCCAATTTTAAAACGCTCATAACTCCTTAAATATTGACATTTCGGGGATTTTTGGCATCATTTTAATCGCAGTTATTTAATGTGGAAAAATAGCCAATTTTAAAACGCTCATAACTCCTTAAATATTGACATTTCGGGGTTTTTAGCATCGTTTTAATAGCAGTTATTTAATGTTGAAAAATACCCAATTTTAAAACGCTCATAACTCTTTAAATATTGACATTTCGGGGTTTTTAGCATCGTTTTAATCGCAGTTATTTAATGTTGAAAAATAGCCAATTTTAAAACGTTCATAACTCCTTAAATATTGACATTTCGGGGTTTTTAGCATCGTTTTAATCGCAGTTATTTAATGTTGAAAAATAGCCAATTTTAAAACACTCATAACTCCTTAATATTGACATTTCGGGGTTTTAAGGGTTTTAATGTTGAAAAATAGCCAATTTTAAAACGCTCATAACTCCTTAAATATTGACATTTCGGGGTTTTTAGCATCGTTTTAATCGCAGTTATTTAATGTTGAAAAATAGCCAATTTTAAAACGCCCATAACTCCTTAAATATTGACATTTCGGGGTTTTTAGCATCGTTTTAATCGCAGTTATTTAATGTTGAAAAATAGCCAATTTTAAAACGCTCATAACTCCTTAAATATTGACATTTCGGGGTTTTTAGCATCGTTTTAATCGCAGTTATTTAATGCTGAAAAATAGCCAATTTTAAAACGCTCATAACTCCTTAAATATTGACATTTCGGGGTTTTAGCATCGTTTTAATCGCAGTTATTTAATGTTGAAAAATAGCCAATTTTAAAACGCTCATAACTCCTTAAATATTGACATTTCGGGGTTTTTAGCATCGTTTTAATCGCAGTTATTTAATGCTGAAAAATAGCCAATTTTAAAACGCCCATAACTCCTTAAATATTGACATTTCGGGGTTTTTAGCATCGTTTTAATCGCAGTTATTTAATGTTGAAAAATAACCAATTTTAAAACGCTCATAACTCCTTAAATATTGACATTTCGGATTTTTAAGGGTTTTAATGTTGAAAAATAGCCAATTTTAAAACGCTCATAACTCCTTAAATATTGACATTTCGGGGTTTTTAGCATCGTTTTAATCGCAGTTATTTAATGTTGAAAATAGCCAATTTTAAAACGCTCATAACTCCTTAAATATTGACATTCGGGGTTTTTAGCATCGTTTTAATCGCAGTTATTTAATGTTGAAAAATAGCCAATTTTAAAACGCTCATAACTCCTTAAATATTGACATTTCGGGGATTTTTGGCATCATTTTAATCGCAGTTATTTAATGTGGAAAAATAGCCAATTTTAAAACGCTCATAACTCCTTAAATATTGACATTTCGGGGTTTTTAGCATCGTTTTAATAGCAGTTATTTAATGTTGAAAAATACCCAATTTTAAAACGCTCATAACTCTTTAAATATTGACATTTCGGGGTTTTAGCATCGTTTAATCGCAGTTATTTAATGTTGAAAAATAGCCAATTTTAAAACGTTCATAACTCCTTAAATATTGACATTTCGGGGTTTTTAGCATCGTTTTAATCGCAGTTATTTAATGTTGAAAAATAGCCAATTTTAAAACACTCATAACTCCTTAAATATTGACATTTCGGGGTTTTAAGGGTTTTAATGTTGAAAAATAGCCAATTTTAAAAACGCTCATAACTCCTTAAATATTGACATTTCGGGGTTTTTAGCATCGTTTTAATCGCAGTTATTTAATGTTGAAAAATAGCCAATTTTAAAACGCTCATAACTCCTTAAATATTGACATTTCGGGGTTTTTAGCATCGTTTTAATCGCAGTTATTTAATGTTGAAAAATAGCCAATTTTAAAACGCTCATAACTCCTTAAATATTGACATTTCGGGGTTTTTAGCATCGTTTTAATCGCAGTTATTTAATGTTGAAAAATGGCCAATTTTAAAACGATCATAACTCCTTAAATATTGACATTTCGGGGTTTTTAGCATCGTTTTAAATCGCAGTTATTTAATGTTGAAAAATAGCCAATTTTAAAACGCTCATAACTCCTTAAATATTGACATTTCGGGGTTTTTAGCATCGTTTTAATCGCAGTTAT